CTGTTGCCTTAATCGCACACACCGCTGCTGTCCTAGAGAGTCACATGGCAGTCATGTTCAGCTGTCCAGGTCTCAGTTTTTGACTAGTGTAGTGTGTCTGAGTGCTTCATTTTTGCATACCGAAATAATGTCAGTCATGTATCACCCTTAAAGCCTGGAATACACTACACAAATTTTAAATCTGAACACATTTTGAAACACTAGGCATTATACACTTGCCAACTTTGTACGGTTGCAGAGAAAAACTGGACATCATTCACTAAAAAAAAATGAGAATCACACACTACCAGACTACTCTCCAACCTCAACAACTGTATTCCAGCCTTAAGGAGCTTATTTTGAAATACTGAGTGAAAATTATCCCACTTATTACACGGCTCCTTTTTAAAAAATAAATGGGTGGACATAAAATATTGATTCAAAATTATTTTAGAATCTTACCTGTATATGATCAATCACAAAATAATTTGCCTAGTAAGATAAACAACGCAATGACATTACAGTTATATTAAAACTGAGGTTCTCCATTTTTATTACAATCAGTAACTGAGATGTAAGATTGCATTTGTTAAGAGCAGTCAAATTATAGGCCAAAAAGATCCTTTGTCTATTGTCAACAGTGAAGTGATATATTAAGTAAGTAATATATTAAGTAAAGCTCACAGAGAAGTCACTTTCAAACCCACCAAAATTCTGATTTCGACTGAATTCTGGCTGGGAAAATTCGCTGAACAACAGTAAATAAACTAAACTGCTAAATGAAATGTTGCTATGGACGATGGTAAACATTATGAAATTTTATGGCCGTTGAATGCTGCGATTGACCAATCAGGGTCAAATATAGAGCGCTGTGTAATAAGTTACATTAATGCATGATACTGGTGTGGAAACAATATAGCAACCAACCAATTCATAGTGTTGTTTAATAGTATATACATTTAACTGTACATTTTCTTACCTTTTTCTAACTGTGTGGCTGTTTGTTTTGTGAGTTCGGAGTTACAAAATATGATTGTACAAAGGCCTCGGTGGTTACTTTTAATTATATCTTTACTCACAGAGATTTCACTGTGGAATACTGGCAAGGTATATGTTGTTTGTGCTGTTATAATAGTAGCCTAGTGTGTGGTGTGAAGATTCGTCCATTGGCTTGGTCCCAACATTTGAATCTGCAGTGTTTGACCAGAAAGGTTAATTGAGTGCATTGCTAGGTAGATATTATATCATTAATGGTTAATTGAATGGTTGAACCATGGATGATTAATTTATGAAAAATATCCTCTTTGCAGATATGTGGTATGATCCTTTCGATGTGTCTGTATAAAGAGGGTTCTGTGGATTACAACACAATTCTCCACTAAGATGACCAGGATCAGTGAGGAAAAAAACGTCAAGTATTTGTTTTCTGTCATTCATATATTTGATGTTTTGTTAATGTTTTTTATATTATTATTTTGCCGTACAGTACTTTGATTGTTTTATACAGATATTTTTTCTCCAAAAGGCAGTCGCTTGTTCATTTTCCTTGTTATTCAGATGTCATGTTTTTTTTTTCTAGTATTTGTTTATGAAAAAGTACAAATAATTCGAACCAGTTGATATGAAACCTTTATTTCATGATTCTCAAAATATGTGCATGTGACTAAGAATGTTCTCATTTGTTCGGTTTAGCCCTGGGTGAGAAAAACATATGGGTGGGACAGTATAATATTTCACAATTGTTGTGCACACAAAGCAAATGACCTCAATTTCGAGGCAATGTGTGCGATACTGTTCTTTTTATAACATGTATTTTACATGTAAAATATTAAAATTCAAATTGTCCTTAATTCTATGTTGTTTATGTAAGGTGACAACAAGTGTTACACATTGGCTGTTAAAATGTTTGAATTTAAGTAAATTATATCATTTTAAGTAAATTGTGTAAGTATACAAATACACTTTTAAAAAACAGGTTAATTGTAATAAAACTGCTGTTGCTAAATTGAAATAAAACAGTAAATTACATTATGAAGTTGATTTTATGTCACAAAGGCTGCATTTATGTGTTTATTTAAACTGAGGATCTAAATGGTACATGGGACATGTAATACCCCATAGCAAGTTATTGTAAGGGCAGGGAGGAGGACAGGAAGGTGTTATCAGGTGTCATATATATACATGCTGTATTCATTTCCCTCATTAATTCCAGAGCAACACTACAGACTAAGGTAAGAAAGATATCAGACTACTTTTACAGTACTTTTAGTCTTGATGCATAAATAAATATATTTTACATTATATATATATATATATATATATTCTATATTTAATTATTCATTATACTTCATTACCGTCAGTTTGATAAAGACATGAAGATGGGATCCCGCACATTGGTTCTGATCATGCTTTTAGGTGCCCTCTGTGGTAAGTGGGAAATAATTTTGACTTTTTCCAAATCATTGTTCTTACAATTTCTAAATAATATATATATATATTGTAAGAGCATTATAATGAATTCAGCACACAACAAAAGCTTTTTTTAATCACAATTATAACAAAGGTTTCAAAATTGTGATCTCATTAGTTGCACAGGCACTGAGGTGCAACTACTGCCAGAAGATTGACCAAGACAATCCCACCTGTGATAACATAGAGGAGAAAGAATGCAGCAGTGGTTTTGATAAGTGCATTAAGATCCAAATGCATCCTCCAGCCTGTAAGTTGACCGTATTCTTTTCCTCAGATGTTAAAACTGATAAAAACAGGATAGTTCCTTATTTAAGTTCTATTGCATGTGCAAACTGAGATACAGGTGCATCAATTGATGGAGTGCAATGATTCATAGTGAATATTTAATGTGCGTGTTTCTTTTTGTAGACGGTGAGGTGCGCAGATGTGCAAATACTAATGAGTGTGATGCTCAGGTGCCTCCTCAGGTGGAGAAAAGGTGCTGCAACACAGACCTCTGCAACTGATCTGCTTTATCAGCCAAATGTATTTTACAATATGGTCTGTGATAATCTTACGCTACTTAAAATGCTCAAAACATACATCATACTATCATTGTTATTAATTGACTTTAATTTAATATATAGGTAAATATAAGTAGAGAATAACAAAGAAATAAAATCTGGCCAGCAAAACTAGAAACAATGATGATTCTTTGTTATCTAAAACATTGTGTTTTTTTTTGTATAAGAGTTTTGAAATGTACAACAATTAAACTCTAAAACAAAACAGCTCAGTCAGCATTCACACAAAAAATGACTTCTCTTATAATAACCAGGGCAGATATAAACATTAATGCATAGACAGACATTCTCTTTTCTGCTGCCCCTCGGACCACACACTGCTGTACTGAACACGTACCAAACTTTTGTGCATAACAAAGGTATGACTCTTCATTCAGTTTAGGCAGAACCCAGCACAGCAAGACATACACAAACAAAACCTCCACTGCAATCCGCAGCATGACGCTGAACAGGTACACCACCACACTGCTTTTGCTCTTGTGGAGGTCTATCATCATCCTACCACCAATAGTCATGGTGGGATCAGTGACAGCTCCCTGCTCGCTTTGAGATGCCATTTCTCTCTCCTTCTTCTTCTGGAATGAAGATTGAAAATGGGAGGAAAACAGCTCCATGAGAAGGACCGAGAGCACAAGAAGGATGAAGAGGAAATGCCACGCCATCACTATAGCATTGTCGAAGTGTGTATTAAAGCAAGCTTTATTGCAGAAGGAGTCAGTGCTGTTACACTGGAAATCCTCATTTAGGCTTTTCCATGGAAACTGAGCCAGAAAGACGGTCACTAGGCGGATGCAGAGCAAGCCGAACCACATGGTGCGACCCTTATAGGTGGCAGTGGAGTCCACCGCAGTGCGGAGGATTGGGATGAGCCCGGTAACTATTGCTGCCATCGCTTTCTAGGGTGGAATTCGTCTTCTTTATGGAAAATAAAGAATGTATCTGCATAAAAAAGGGAGAATTTTCAATTACAGTCATATAACAAATATTTGGTATCTGCTTAAAATATTTGGTACATTGTGAGATATGACATCAACATGATTTCAAAAATCAGTGTAGATATTTTGTTTAAAGAACATGAGCCCAACATACCTTTTTATAGGGAACGAAGGTTTTGTGTCCAGCGCTGAAGTTGTTGTAATTTTTGAACTTCACTCACTATATAGCCTCTAACTGTATGTGTCATCAAAACTGGTTTCTCACATTTATCCACAGTTTTTTTTCTTAACTTGGGGTTAATACAAGATCTCAAGTAGTTTTGTCCTGTATTTGTCTATATAATAATATCTATATTTAACTCACTTCAAGTGTAAAATGTTTACTGCTCACCCCTTTAGATGATTTTCCGAACTGAATTTAAATGACATGTTAGTTTAATGGCATACTCTACCACTAGTTAAAATTTTTGACACCTATTTTTTTTAACCAATACCAATTTAATTACTAATTTAACTATTTTCCACATGTATTATAAACAAAATGATCAAAACTATGAAATTGAAACTGCCGGCTTCTTTCTTTCACTATCTATGCCTACTCATCTAGTTAATGAATCATTAAAAAAATAATTAATTCATTACAATAAAAAAAATAAAAAAAAGTCATATATTTGTGTCTACAAAACTAGATCAAACATTTAAGATCATAGAAAACTACTTTTAATCAATGTGTCCAAAATTGTGAATGGTATTATAAATGAAACCTTTTTCAAATCATATTACACTACACCAAACCGTCAAAAATCCATGAAGTACAATGGACCCTTTTCACAAGACTGAAAAACCCGGAAATGTGAAAAAGGTCAATTTTGCTTTAGGACACATAAAGAAGAACAAGAGACGATATTGTTTAACTGTACAGCATAAAACCATTATATTATGTCCAAAACGTAATTACTGTCATATTTACCACCACATTCACTGGCTTGTTGCCTTAAAAAAAAACACTCATATATAATAACAGCTGTTTAAACTTCAGAAGGAGAAAAAGTTATTGATTTAAATGAGTCATTGGACTTGTGATTAAAATCAGAATTCAATTATTACACTGATTTCAAGTGTATAAACATGACATAGATTAAATCTGTGGTTATGACACTGAGGAGAACCATTGACTGACTCTTTGATTCAGACATACCTTAAAAATAAGAGTCCTCTCAGCAATCTTGGCACATTTCTAAAGATAAATACATTTTTGCACAATATCAAGGCAAATTAAAGACATCATTTTGTGACTATTTATGCATTGAAGCATTTAATCCTATTTAAAAATGAGATTTTATTGATTTTCAGGCTTTTTGCAAGATTCTCTTTGTTTTGTGAATAGAACAGCAGTAACAAAAATGTGAACATTGCTCAAATGTTCAAAACAGCTGACACGGTCAGCAACAAGTTCAGAGCCCCTCTTCCTTGTCTATATACATATGGGCTGGCATTGTCCGAAATGCCGACACCGGCACAGTCACCGGAACAGTCAGAGAAATAGCGGTGGGTTCAGATCCCGACGGTGATGCAGCATTAGGTGGGGACGGCAGGGGTTGGCTGTGCACTACGTCTGTCTGAGGCATGGAGGATGAGGACTCAGTGTCGCGGTGGGTGCGTAAGTGCTTGCGTAGGTAGGCAGCGAAAAGAAAAGCCTTTCCGCAAACAGTGCAGCAATGTGGCCGATTGGTCGAGTGGATGCGCTGGTGTTTACGAAGCCCGGCTTTATTCAGAAAACCCTTACCGCACTGGTCACAAACGTGAGGTCGCAGCTTGGGGTGCAGTTTCTCGTGTGTCTGCAGATCAGCCAGCTGAGCAAACTCTGCCTGGCAGGTCACACAAACATGTGGGCCAACAGGCAAAGCTGAAACCATAGAATCAGACGGGGGAGAGACAGTGTGAAGGCTGGTATGGGCCTGCACTTCCTCCCATGTCCCGAATATCATATCACAGTGAGAGCAGGAAAACTGGGGAAGGGTGGTGGGAAACATCTGAGCCGTTTCAGGAGTGACCTGGACCTGCAACGGCCTCTCGGACAAGTGTGTCCTCTCATGTTTGCGCAAACTGGATGACACAACAAACGACTTGAAGCACAGCTGGCATTTGTAAGGACGCTCCCCTGAATGCACCCTTCGGTGTTTGTTCAGACTTGAGCGCTCCGTAAAGGACTTGCCACATTCCGTGCAAGAAAAAGGCCGCAGCCCGGAGTGAACTAGCATGTGGCGCCGCAGATCCCAAGAAGCGACGAAAGCTTTATCGCAGCATTGGCATTTGTAGGGCCGCTGACCTGAGTGCACACGCTGATGCACCGCAAGGTCTGCCGGCTGCCGAAACCTCTTAGTGCACTTGTCACAAGGGTACGGCTTGAATCCTTGATGCGCCCGTTGATGTCGGCGGAAACTAGAGGGATCGGAGAACATCTTGCCGCACTGTGGACACAAGAAGGGGTTTTCACCCGAGTGGGTACGGAGATGGGACTGGATACTAATGAGTGTGATGCTCAGGTGCCTCCTCAGGTGGAGAAAAGGTGCTGCAACACAGACCTCTGCAACTGATCTGCTTTATCAGCCAAATGTATTTTACAATATGGTCTGTGATAATCTTACGCTAATTAAAATGCTCAAAACATACAGCATACTATCATTGTTATTAATTGACTTTAATTTAATATATAGGTAAATATAAGTAGAGAATAACAAAGAAATAAAATCTGGCCAGCAAAACTAGAAACAATGATGATTCTTTGTTATCTAAAACATTGTGTTTTTTTTTGTATAAGAGTTTTGAAATGTACAACAATTAAACTCTAAAACAAAACAGCTCAGTCAGCATTCACACAAAAAATGACTTCTCACCCAGACCAAACAATGCAAAAATGCAGACACAGAAACACCACACAGTGCAAAAAAACATTTCCTTGACTAATTTTTCTTCTTGCTTTGTTTGCAAAGTTACATTGAAATTGTAAGTTTAAATCAAACTGAGTCAATTCAGTTCCTAATATTCATCTGTAAGGCAAAATAAAAAATATTTTACTTATTGGGGACGGCAGGGGTTGGCTGTGCACTACGTCTGTCTGAGGCATGGAGGATGAGGACTCAGTGTCGCGGTGGGTGCGTAAGTGCTTGCGTAGGTAGGCAGCGAAAAGAAAAGCCTTTCCGCAAACAGTGCAGCAATGTGGCCGATTGGTCGAGTGGATGCGCTGGTGTTTACGAAGCCCGGCTTTATTCAGAAAACCCTTACCGCACTGGTCACAAACGTGAGGTCGCAGCTTGGGGTGCAGTTTCTCGTGTGTCTGCAGATCAGCCAGCTGAGCAAACTCTGCCTGGCAGGTCACACAAACATGTGGGCCAACAGGCAAAGCTGAAACCATAGAATCAGACGGGGGAGAGACAGTGTGAAGGCTGGTATGGGCCTGCACTTCCTCCCATGTCCCGAATATCATATCACAGTGAGCGCAGGAAAACTGGGGAAGGGTGGTGGGAAACATCTGAGCCGTTTCAGGAGTGACCTGGACCTGCAACGGCCTCTCGGACAAGTGTGTCCTCTCATGTTTGCGCAAACTGGATGACACAACAAACGACTTGAAGCACAGCTGGCATTTGTAAGGACGCTCCCCTGAATGCACCCTTCGGTGTTTGTTCAGACTTGAGCGCTCCGTAAAGGACTTGCCACATTCGGTGCAAGAAAAAGGCCGCAGACCGGAGTGAACAAGCATGTGGCGCCGCAGATCCCAAGAAGCGACGAAAGCTTTATCGCAGCATTGGCATTTGTAGGGCCGCTGACCTGAGTGCACACGCTGATGCACCGCAAGGTCCGCAGGCTGCCGAAACCTCTTAGTGCACTTGTCACAAGGGTACGGCTTGAATCCTTGATGCGCCCGTTGATGTCGGCGGAAACTAGAGGGATCGGAGAACATCTTGCCGCACTGTGGACACAAGAAGGGTTTTTCACCCGAGTGGGTACGAAGATGGGACTGGTACGAGGACAGCTGAGTAAAACCTTTGCCACACTGTTCACACTGATACGGCTTGCTCTTGGAGTGGATTCGCAAGTGGCACGCCAAAGAGGATGACCGGGAGAAGGCTTTGCCGCAGTCTGAACACAGGTAAGGCTTCTCGCCCGTGTGCGAACGCTCATGGTTCTTCAAGTCCTTCAGCTCTGTGTACGTTTTACCACACTGGCCGCAAGAATACGGTCGGTGGCCTTGGTGATTACGCCGATGCTTGCGGTACACCGAAGGGTCAGCGAAACTCTTCCCACACTCGGAACAAAAGTAAGGCTTCTCCCCGGTGTGTGATCGTTGGTGCACTTTGAGTTTGGATAGTGTGGGATAACTCTTAGAGCAATGAGGGCAAGAGTGAGGCCTTTCGCCACTGTGCTGCGTCATGTGGATACGCAGGCAAATGGCCTGCATAAATGCCTTGCCACAGTCAAAACAAACAAACGGTTTCTCCCCTGTGTGTGAACGGCTGTGGTTGCGTAACTCTGTTGGAGTCTTGTAAGCCTTATGGCAGTGTGGGCACTGGAACGGACGCTGAGCAACGTGGGAGCGCTGATGCTTGGAAAGCTGTGCCCGGCTGGAGAATGTCTTTGTGCACTTACCGCAGGTGTATTGCTGCTGTTTGTCTTTACCATGTACCAACAGCTTGTGGCTCTGTAGAGCTGAAGGGCTGGTAAAGACCTCCTGACAGGTTGAGCATTTAAAAGTGTGCAAAGTTTTTGGGGGTCTCCCTTTGCCTCTTCTTTTTGTAGGTTGTTCTGATGAGTTGTCTGGTTCTTTGTTGGGCTCGGTCTCAGAAGGCAGTGGTGCATACTGCTCTGCGGCTGGTGGGCTACCTGGATGAGGTGAAGCCATCCTGATGATGCTGGAGAGAACAAGAAAATACACAATGAATGCCTTGAACTTATGTTTTAATTTAATTTAGAATTAATTTACTTACTTCATTTACTTTACTTAGTTCATTTATTTCACTTACATTTAACAGATTAATTTGTATATACTTGTTTTTATTATCACTTATATTCTTGGCTGTTATATGTTACTCTTTTTTCCAAATTTTTTTCATTCTTTTTCTTTAGGGAAAATATATTACATAAATATTACATTAATAATAATAATAATAATAATAACAATAAATTATTAAATAATAAAGTAATTAATATTAATACTTGTTGTTGTTGTCATAAAAAATGAAATTACATTATAAATGAATTAATAGTAGTCAAAATACCACGATCACTACACTTTTTGTTAATTTTGTTTTAGAAATGCATTTTCCCCTCTCATTTAGTATATTTTATGTTTTATGGCAATGGTGGCAAATTTAAGTTAACACAGATTTATTGTAAGAACAATTACTGTAGTAACTAGCATATAGTATTTGGTATACTAATGTATATAACGTACAGAGTAGGCCTATATAAATAATACTAGTATGTAGTATTTTGGCAGAAACCATGGTGAATATTTTGTAAAAAGATGTTAATAGGCTGGGATGGGGCAGGCAGCACAAAATGGCCGGCATTAGGACCTCAGGGGCAATTAGGAAAGACGCTCTTGTTCTCAAAGGAAGTTGGCATCTGGGCTGCTTGTGTACAAAACTGAATTACATTTCGATGTTAACAGAAAATATAAATGTATTATATATGTATTAGAAATTAAACATAACGACCATGACCAAATCGAATCAATGTAAATGCAACAGGGTGGCAATTAAAATAGCTAATGAACATGTCTTTAACGCATACAACTACTCTGATTTTTCAATGTCACAAAAAATGGCTGGCTTTAGGACCGCTGAACACGCGAAGCAATTTGCAGTCGGACGCTTGTCACTTCATCATAATCGCTGCATTTTAATTTATTTTTTAAACAATATGTGGTCGTTTTTTATCTCTTTAGAATGCCTACAAAATGTGGCTTACGTTACGTACCTTTTGTGCTCTCGGGAGAGACGAGTGTATCTTTGACAATGAATTTCAAATCGTTCAATCTCAGGAGAAGAACGGCGGCTTTAGGACCACGACGAAATTATCAAGTGAACGCAGATATGTGAGCCTTCATGACTTCCTCACTCACCACCTGGGGAATGTATACAAAACTATCTGAATTTTTCTTAAATTAAAAAGCTTTCATACCTCTGCTGTTTTGGTATTCTTGCTACGGTGTTTCTACGGACTCCAGTGCATGGTGAGTGGGGTAGAATGGGGAGGAGAGACTGAGAGCCTGTGGGAGGGGAGATTATGTATGCTCGCTTCAATGTGCGTGGATGTGCAGTTGTTTTGAGCATATAAAGTTATATAACAAAATGTGAATTGGCTGAAAATAATGGTGCGGTTAACGGTCTAATAATGTATAACTGTGTATTTGCAAAAGGTTTATTTTAAGAGTGGACAAATACTGATCATTTTAAATAATACAAGCTGTTATTGACATTAATGACAACATTAAATAATAATAAGAATAAAAAAGAGGCTTCGAAAATATGTTTTGGGCGGAACAAATTCCTAGAAGTTCTGATAGCATCTAATATTTCATTGTTTACTTATAATGTAAGAGTAGCAATTGCCGTGTTTGCATTTGTGGCTATATAGTACAAAAATAAAACATTCTTGGTCACTAGTTTTGCGAAAAGCGGGGACTAAAATCAATAGTCCATGTTATTAAATTATTCCAATAGGAATTGGCGGAGGGGCTAGAAATAATATAATGATGTAATGAAAGCAATGTTTTTGTTAAGGAAAACACCTCTTTAAACTAACGTACGGACGTTTTTCACTGATGCACATTTCCTGTTTCCTAGCAACAAGAGCAGGAAGTGAGTGAGTCGAGTGGGATGGGGAAAAAGACAATTGGTAAAAAGGGGGACGAACACGCCCGTCCTGAAACGAAAATAAAGTGAACGGAGTGCCATCACTACTTGCACCAACTTCACACAGGGAGACTGCAACATTCAGTATGTATATTCCTAGCGTCATTTTTGTTGTATCAGTAGGTTAGTTTTAGCCACTGTTTCTAGCCGCCAAATGCTAACGTTAACTAGCTCGCAACGGGCTGGGATGCTACTGCCTCTCCCAAATACATATTTTATTCCGTTCATCTCAAGGGCAGTTTGTGTACACTATTAATTTACTCTACGGCTAGAAGGCTATTAAAACGATCAAGATTGTGCTTGTGTAGCTAGCTGTTAGGCTAATGTACCGGGGAAGTGTTTACTGTGTCAACAGAGCTCCATTGTGAGGCAGTCTGCCATCTAACTGCTGGAGCCAGTGAGCTGGTACTTCATGCTGTCCACTCATCTATAGAAATTCTATCTAAAATCTATTATAGATCAGTAATGCTGTCAGATCCCGACAGATATGCGGTATCAGCGTTATTTTATTGAATGGATATAAAGAAAAATAAAAACTGGAGCTGTCAGACTAAAGGTTTCATGATCGATGATAAATAGGTTTTAATGGATATAAAAACCACTGCATGTACTTTGGTTTTATATAACGTCCAAGTTGGCAGTGGTGTATAAAGTACCTGCAAGCCATACTCAAGTAAAAGTACAGATATCTTACCAGAAAATGACTTTAGAAGTAGAAGTTGAAGTTGAAGACACTGTTTAGAATATTACTTGAGTAATAGTCTTAAAGTATGTGATATTTATTGTACTTAAGTACGAAAAGTATTTTTTAAATCTTAAACGTACTTAAGTATTGAAAGTAAAAGTAGATGCAAAATGGAAAAGAAGCATAAAAATAAAATAATATATATATTTATATATAAATGTTCATACACCGCTTGAGTTGCAAGATTGGTTCAGTTTTAACTCTTTCTTCCATTTTGTATTTTTGGGTAAGAATAAGAAGCACTTCATCTGGTACTTAGTGTCTTTCATTCCAACATAAGAAAACATTTCTGGAATCTGCATCTGAAATAGCATTTAGATGTATTTTGCACAGGTTATGTATCTCAGAGAGGACATGGATGCATTTAAACTGCAGTTACAGATGCATAAATAGGCCTCGTGTTTTGTTATAAAACGTTGAATACTGATATTTGAAATAATTTAAAACATGAAAAAAAAAATTGTCCAATTTAGAATGCCTGGAATTTTGAGTTTTAATAGACTAATAAATCAACGTGCGTGCACTCTGTGTGCCACTGATTCGTCAAACCTGCTTTCCTGCAGTCCGTGTTCTTCTGACTTCTGACTTTTGTAATAATTAATGAATATGCTTCGGGGAAATGTATTGGAGTAAAAGTATATATTTTAATTAGGAAATGTAGTGGAGTAAAAGTTGACTGAAATATAAAAACTCAAGTAAAGTACAGATACTCCTAAAAAATACTTAAGTACTGTAACGAAGGATTATTACTTCGTTACATTACACCACTGCAAGTTGGTTTAATCATTGCTTGTATAAAAGGGGTGTTTTTGTACTCTTAATGAACACTTTTTTCAATGTGAACATACAAAAAGTGCTTATTAAAGGGGCAATTCACCCAGAAAAGAAAAGTCATCATTTATCCATTGAAATCCATATTATTTTGTCCCAAGTTCTGTTTTAAATTTTGTTTATTTTTAATTGTTTGTTTGTTTATTTTTAATTGTTTATTTTAATCAATTAATAATTGATCAAATTGGTAACAATAATAGAGAATCTGTTTTACCTTGTCTCAAATTCCTTTACTCACCCTCATGACATTCCAACCCTGTAGGACTTTCTTTCTTCAAACAGCATTAAAGGAGCTATCAGGCAGAATGACCGCTTCAGTCAGCATTTACTTTTATGACATTTTTAGTCCATACAATAAAAGTGAATGTTGACTGAAACTGTTATATGGAAAGAAAGTCATATGGTTTTTGGAACGACATGAGGGTAAATGATAGAATCTTCAGTTCTGCATAAATTTTCTCTATAAACCAGTGCATTGTTTCATTACAGTAATGTTAGAATACTTCCTTTTATTTATTTACTCATTGGTTATGTAAACTCTGAGCTTTTTGTCAAAATTTAGTCACATTAGAAAAAGCTATGTAATTGTTAGCTTTTTCATCATTTTCTTGTTATGCAATTGCCCTGTGTAAACTTAATGCTAAATAATGTATGGGTTTTCCTGTTACAGATTTCATCCAGTGCCTGCGCTTGCATCATCTTACCAATGATGTTTTTCCAATGGAATGGAACCGATTGTATTCTCAGCTAATTTTTTGAATGTTGTCTTTACGTTCAGTCCTCTCAGAACAGGCCAATTTGATAATAGCGAGGACAGGTGTGCCCCTCACACTCATTCAAACTGGCTCTTGTTGACATTTCTTATCATTATACTATACCACTATGGCTATGCAAGAGCCAGGCCGGACCAAAGGCTTTTCGTGTAGACATTGTGGTGTAGTATGTGCAAGCATGCCCAGTCTTTTGGAGCATACTGAAACTTTTCATCATTCAGAAGAGGAACGGAAGTTCAAATGTGATGAATGTGGTCGAGGCTACAGGCATGCTGGCAGCTTGGCTAATCACAGAAAAACACATGAGGTTGGCTCTTTTCAGTGTCATATATGCTCCAGGAAGCTCTACAATGCATTGGCTCTCAAAAGTCACCTGCGCATCCACACGTCTAGAAAGAAATACTCTTGCACAGAATGCGGAAAGGCTTTTCGCCTTGCAACTCAGCTGGTCACCCATCAAAAGGCCCATCGCAATAAAGAGTCTCAAATCAGGACAAAGGATTCTGCAAATAGTCTTATTGAAAGTAATTATAAAGATGTTGAGTTGCTGCATCTAGATGAGATGGATTTTGACATTATACCAGATTTGCAGCCGGACATGAAGCTAAATATTGCTCCAACGAGCAGCCTTAGTAATGATGCAGTGTCAGAACACATTTCAAATGCCACCACAGAAAGTGACATGGCAGCTGAAGATGATGCTGGAGACAGGCCGTTTAAATGTGACTTGTGTGACAAGACATACAGACATCATGGCAGCCTCATAAATCATAAGAAAACTCATCAAATGGGAGTATTTGAGTGTCCAGTCTGTTTTAAACAGTTCAATAATCTTGCTGCACTTAATAGTCACCAGCGAATCCACAGTAAAACCCGTGGTCGTCTCAGTGTGCAGACCTCTAAAGCTGCCCTCACAGACTGCAAGCAAGAACTTGCCCCTCATGTTATGCCACAGAATGGTGATGCTAAAATACATTTTTGTCACCTTTGTCAGGTTGATTTTACTAATGGTGATGAGTTTCAAAATCATATTCTGTTGCATAACTCCTCCTCTGTGTCATTTGAGCTCCCTACCAACTTGTCAGAGGAGCACAGTTTCTCTTACAATGATAGTGTTACTCATTCCCCAGAGTCTAATCCTTATCCCACCTCTAGTGACACTCCACCATTGCCTCCGTTACTCGATAAATCTATTGATTATGGCCAATCAGATGGGCCATTGGAAAATGGTCATATTTATCTACCCAACTCTTTAGATGAAAATCCATTGACTCTGCATGCTCAGGGACAGCCAATGGCCCTACCATCAGAAAACCTCAACCCTGATCATTTAGGACAGGGTACTGATAACATCAAAGTAGAAGATGCTGACAGTTCTGTCCGCCGATTCAAGTGCAACATCTGTGGCAAAAGCTACAGGCATGCAGGCAGTCTTATAAATCACAAACGATCCCATCAAACCGGGATCTTTCAGTGTTCCATCTGCCGCAAGAACTACCCACATTTGGCAGCTCTGCGAAGCCACCTTCGGATCCATAAGGGGAGGCCCACATCTTTGCCTGCTAGTTCTGAGGGTGACTGGCTTTCCTCAGAGCCCTTGACGCATGAGAATCAACAGAACTGTTTTCCATCACATGAGGAAGATGTAAGTGGAATATTAGGCCTTCCTCAGGACCTGGTAGACTCTGTGCAGCATAAATCTGATGACGAGCATGTGAATGAGACGAATGCTACTGAATTTCATGAGCAGTTTGACAATTCCTTCACAGATGGGCACCTACCTCAGGATGAACACCTCATGGAGAGGCACATGTGTGCTGACTGTGGTAAGACATTTACTGATATTGCAGGAATCAAGTCACACATGTGTCCCCTCCTAAATCAGCAGTATCAGACCATGATGAATGGCTCACTCGGTCACATGGACTTTCATAACACAAAGCATCAACATTTCTTAGGAGAGTCAGGTGAAGATGTTGGTTTTGAGGGACACGACGGCAGTGCAGCAGAGGCCTATTTTAGACAGCATACCTTTATTGACAACATTCGTAGTCAGATGAGTGACAGTGAAGATGATGAAGAAGAGGACGATGGAGAGATGTATCAGTGCTCAGTGTGTGGGAATCACTATACTAGCATGCGTGCACTGCGAAGCCATCTCAGAGGTCATACTCAAACTCATGCCACACCTTCAGCATGTGGCCCATCA